AATATAATTAATTTTTTTTTATTTATTTTATTTTATTTTTTTGTATAACTTATTTTTTCATTCCATCAGAAATAACATTTTTAAATAATTTTATGTTAAGTCATTTCATTTTATTTTAATTAATTTATTTCATTTTAATAAATTTATTTTGTTCTAATTTATTTTGTTGTAAATATATGATTTTTTTTAATTCCATTTATTTTATTTAATTAATTTAGTTTACTTTAATTTAATTTAATTTTTTATTTTAATTTTTCTTATTTTTTCAATTCCTATTGTTTTAATTTATTTTATTTTATTATTCTTTTTTGTTTTTTTATATTTTTATATTATTTAATTTAATTTATTTTAATTTTTTATTTTAATTTATTTTTTATTAAGTTTAATTTATAATATTTTATCTTAATTTACTTTAGTTTTTCAGTTTAATTAATTATAGTTTATTGCGTCAGAGCCTCTAGACCAAAAGCTTTCGCCAGATGTCGCTGTAAACTAAACTAAGTTAAAATAAGAATATAAAAAATTTGTTTGACAACATCATTTCAAGGGCCAAGTCTCATCTACAAAAGTTTATTAAAATCCTTAGCTAAATGAGGTAATACAAAATATCAAATATAATTAGAAAAGGGTCATAAGGGGCACAAAAAAGTGAAATCCTGTCTGCTGAACAAAAAATGCTGCTAAGAATTTAAAAAGAGAGAAACAAACAAAAAATAACCTTCAAATATATTAAAGAATTTAAGAGTTATTAGACGACAGATAAAACAAAAGCAGCTCTGATGAAGTATGAAAAGAAACTGAAAAAATTATTGTTTGTAATAAGACAAAAGCAACTAGCGAGCCCACCATGCGTCTTTTCGAATGAAACTGGCAAAGAAAATAAACATTGCGAATAAAAGCGGGAAATTAAATAGCAAATTACGCGCCAAAATAAAGCTAACAAATTGCATAAGAACAGAGGAAGAACATAAGAAAAAGATAAAAGCACAAAAACACAGCAAAGATGCCGAGGTCCTCAAACAAAAGAAAGTAGAAAAAGAAAACAAAGAGCATGTCAACAAATCGTAGCCTTGGCTTACACAATGAAGAAAACAAAATAAAATCTTAAGATAATCAGATGCCTGCAGCAATAAGCAGCAACAGCGCCAGTAAAGATGTGGAGAGCTAGCTGAAAAACAAAAAAAAAAAATTTTTATAAAAAATAAGCCACAAAACATATATACTTGAAAAAAAAAGTAAAGACGAAGAGTGCAAGAAGCAATATAATAAGAAAAATGTGTAATGAAAAATAAAGCTAAGAAGGGCATGCAGTCTTGGTTTAGTCTAGTATACTATACTATAATAGTAGATATATATAGCTATGTTGGTATATAAATATATACCTATATATAAATGTATACCTAGTTGGCGACTGCTTCAGAGATCAAGATTTTCATGTCACGGCCCACATTGTTGTTCTATGTCCTTTTCTTAGTTGATGATGTTGATAGACCATGCAACACAACTGCTGAGCATTGGCTAGACGCAATGTCTTACTCACTTCATTAAACAATAATTCTTAACTTTGCAAAAAAAAGAAGGCGACAAAAACACATTGAAATTAGAAAAATCATTACGGCCAAGGCATACCATGCACGACTGCGCCTTTTTGTTTATGTCCCTTTTTTCGTTGCCTTTCTGTTATTTTTCTTCATTTTCAAGCCAATTATCCTCAAGCAAGGCTTTGGTTAAACAATGCCAGTGCCATTTAATTGGCTTCGTGAAATTGTTATTTTTTATAATTTTTTTTTTTTTTTTGTAGATTTAAGGCAGGACTTCATCTCATTTTTTTAATTAGCTATTTCATTATGAAATAAAGCTACGTAATGCCATTAGGTACATCAATGTAAAATTTGGAAAAACACAGTGCAAATCCAATTATGAAATTATAAACAATAGGATTGCAACCATAATAAAATATTGATATATTTATTCATTGAATCCTCCCATATTTAATACTGTCCATAGAAAGCCGAATAAAAATTATTTTGCTCTACGGAGCCACAGTTTGATGGTTTGAAGCCCGATAGCTGTGTTGACAGAGAAATACACTCATGCATCATACTTACATAAGCCTGCGAGGTTGACAAAAGAATGTATAAGCATCTTCGACAACCAATCTGTCTTTAATTCTCTGACATTCATTCTCACCTCGCTTAAAATGGCAACGAAACCCTTAAGTGTAAAACACCACGCGACATAGGAAAAAGTAAGGAAATTGTAGCTGACGATGAGATATCTAAAAGCCACACGTATTTGGTTCGCAAAGGATGCCAAACCACAGAGTCGAGATATGTCTAGCCATAGTTTGGAGATTGAACTACTCTATAATTAGATCCAGCATAGGCTTAAACATCAATGAAGAGGGGTCGTTAAAACAGCAGCTTGACTGTGTTCTAAATTTACCAATCAACACCAAATAGTTATTTATTAAAAATTGATTCACTATAAAGTATTTTATTTTTAGGAAAATCCCAACTTGGAGGAAGAACTTCGCTTTTTACATATTCTCCGGTTTGTAGGACTAACCATTGGTCTTTTGTGGTGTTAAAAAGAGACCAGTTTTATTGTGATTTAAGGTAGTCGTCGTATAGGACATCAACGCGTTTCATGAAATTCAGGAGAGCCTCAAGGTTCAATTTTCAAGCCTCCCCTAGTCTATTCAACTGCGTAGTTCCGAGATATTTAAAACGAACTTCAGCTTAGAGCAGACAGCAAAAAAAAATGAAGTGTTCTAACGTCTCACTGATGCTTCTTACCTACATTTTCTACTAGTGTCACTGCTACTAATGAATCTCCAGCTTGCTTGGAATGCCGTAGATTGACACCCTGCAGTCCCTACGTGAATGTGTCGCATGTACCAGATGTATGTCTTCTTTGCTGTTTTGCAAAGATTTTGGATGTTTGGCATATCGATAATGCGATCCAGCTCACTCTGATGCGGCACCCACATATTTCCAAAAATTCATTAATGGAGGCCTTTGGGGCCCTTTGTTTAATCTGTGGTAGCTCGCTAGAAATATGGATGACAATTTTTGCAGTAACAAGAGTAATTTGAATATATACTGATATAACCGGATCTCACCAATTAGCCAATTTAAATCACTCTCTCTCTCTCTTATTACGTATTATTTTATTTTTTTATTTACTTTATTTCATTAAAAATTTTAATTTAAATTTTGTTATTTTATTTTATTTTAATGTTTTTTTTTAAATTTATTTTATTTTATTTTATTATTATTTTTATTTTATTTTAATTAAGTTTAATTTATTTTATTTAAATATATTTTTTTTCTTTATTTAATTTAATTTAATTTAATTTATTTTATTTTATTTTATTTTATTTTATTTTATTTTATTTTATTTTAATTTAATTTAATTTATTTTATTTTATTTTATTTTATTTTATTTTATTTTATTTTATTTTATTTTATTTTATTTTATTTTATTTTATTTTATTTTATTTTATTTTATTTTTTATTTTATTTTTTTCTCTTTGATAAAAAAACTAATTTTTGTACTATCATTTTTATTTCTTTTATTCATTGTGACTTTCTTGTCTTCCGTTACTTTGACAAATCCTTGAAATTTTCATTCTTCTAATTCAACATCTCAATTAACACCAAAAGCTGATTGCCGCTGGAGAGCTGCTGAATTTAGCTTTTGCCGAATCTGTAGCGAAAATCTTTTAACAAACTTTTGTGTACATTTTTTAGCCAGCTTTTTGCTTTATGTTTTTTTTATCCTCTTTCAACTTGTAAATCTCAACTTTACATTTTTTGCTTTCTTCCATTTACGAGTTGAAAAAATTTGCTTAAAAATTGAATGGTCGATTGTCTCAATTGATATTGATGAGTGTTCGTCGCTTTAGTGTCTTTCCAATTTTTTTTTTTCATATCCTCATTTTTTTCATTTTCCATTTCCTTTAAGCACTCGTTTGTTTGTCTCTATTGCCAATTTTCATTTGTTGCTAAGAAATCTCCTTAACCACTTACTTACCGGGTACTTTCTTACACTCTAACTGGTATGCGACCAAAGTCACTGCTTGAATTTTGTCTCTTTACATTTTTTTGGGCGGCAACAATGTATTTTCTGAGTTTTTTTTTCTACTTTCTCATTTTATAGCGATTTGCTTTTTGTACTCTTAACTCACCCCAGCATCTTTTCGTTTAAATTCCATTTGTCAATTTATTTGATTTAACGAAGAATAATCTTCAACTCATCCTTTTTTTAATTTGATTTGCTGTATTTTTTGCCTCATTTTCCTTTTGGATGCTTGGATCTCTTTTAAACTTTTTTAGCCTTCCTTGTTTTTAAGTGTCTCTTCTGTGCTTCTGTGCATTTTCAGCTTGCAAGAGGAAGCGCCAACTGATTGCTTTAATGGATCTTATGTATATTGGCACTAAGCTCCTCCGGATTGGCAGTGGTGAAAGTGTTTAGAGAAAGCTCAAAGTTCATTTGAAGTTTATTGGTACTAATTTTCAAGGAATAAAGTAGTAGAAGAGACGTAAGACGCAAACATGAAAGAGTCGTGAGTTACCTACTGTAGTCTGATACATGGGTTTGTACCAATAGTATCTACCCCCTGTGAGTATCTATTCCCTATTCTAGGTAACATAAGCCGGCTAGGAACTACTCCTTCACCTACTTTTTCTGTAGATTATACACTTAAAGGGGAGAGGTACTGCCCTTATATGCGAAGGTAGAACGAGACACTATTGGTTCTTTGCAGTTTAGAGGCGGCAAAGAGGGTTTAGTTAGAAGGAAATCAGAGCTGCAATGGAATATTTGAATCTATTATTAATTTTTAAAATATTTTTATATATGTGTATATACATATGTATATATATGTTTTTTTTTTTTTTGTTTTATATGCATTTTGTCTTAATGTTTGCTAGGTTTTTTAATTTATATTACATTAAAAATATATTAATATCATATATATTTTCCTCTTATTTCAGCCTACCCCCACAGACGGAATTTATAGAACTCTAAAAATGGCATCACAACAACCGCAACTCAAACAACGATCGCTTCAGCGAATGATGATAAAAGAATGTGAGATAAAATTAAAATTTGAAAGATAAAAATTTCTCACAACGAATACTGTTATCAAATGCCAACAACCACTCGTTGTGCTAAAGTGTTTTTAGATAATTAACGAAGAACTTAAACAACAACAACAACTCAACTAAATAGGCACTGATAGTGCGAAGTGTGGCAAGATGTGCTCCACAACACAATTTTGTTTACTTAACCTGCGTACATATTTAATATATTTATGCTGTTATCTACTCATAATGGTGGCGGCGGGTAGCCGTGTAGTTAACGGTCTAAAATGTTATTGTAATCCGAAGGAGTGTGATGTCATACGTTCGTTGGATTGTCCGGGCAAGGGTCTGATGCTGTGGGACCCATGCAAGTGAGTGAAATTATAAAAAATTTTCCATATTGATTGTTTTTCGATTTCGAATTTGATTTCGAGTTCAACTAACCTTTTAATAGAGGTTTTGACTTTTATTTTGAATTCGACTTTGGTTGGATTAAGGTTTTTTTTTTCAAAATCAGTTTCAATTCCGCATTCGGTTTGGATTTTGATTTTGGTGTTGTTTTCGGTTTCTGTTTATTTCCATTTCGATTTGTCTCGACTTCAACTTAGACTTTGCTTTCTTTGTCGAACTCGTTTTCGATTCCAAAATCGAATTACATTTTGATTTTGTTTCCAATTTCTTTTTTTTGATTTATATTTTTATTTGGTTATGATTTAGATTTAGCATTTCGCTTTCAGATTTCGACTTCGATATATGTAAACGTATATACATAGATTCAGATTTATTTTCAAATTCTTTCTCAGTTTCAACATGACTTCATTTTCGAAAATCAAATTCGATTTCGAAATCAAACTCGATTTTTTTATCTTCGAAATCAAATTCGATTTCGACATCAAACTCAACTTCGAAATCAAACTCGAATTCGACTTCGAATTTATCTTTGAAATCAAATTCGATTTCGATTTCGAATTTATCTTTGAAATCAAATTCGATTTCGACTTCGAATTTATCTTTGAAATCAAATTCGATTTCGATTTCGACTTTATCTTTGAAATCAAATTCGATTTCGATTTCGACTTTATCTTCGAAATCAAATTCGATTACTGACTTATGATAGAGTATAATTATTCATTTTTTCGCTTACAGATGCTGTCGTATTTGTGCCAAAACACTTGGCGAAACTTGTGGCGGTCCTGGTGGTTTCTCTGGCCAATGTGAGCCACCACTACAGTGTGTTGCAAAAATACCCATCAACAGTGGACTGGGTGTTTGCATGGGTAAGTTAACGATGTATAATATTTTGAAATAAAAAAAATCTTTTTTTTTTTGAACGAAATTGATAAATGCATGATCAGGTGAAGAGGTCAATTTATCTTGGTAACAGATAAAATTGAAAATTACAAAAAAAATTATATTTTTAATTCCATTTTTATTGCGTTGGGAATTAATTGTCTCTTCAAAATCTCAAAATTATTTTAATGTATTGTATTTGCATAATTTTTGCTGTAAATAATTAAGAAATAATACTTTTACTTTTGGGTTTAAACCAATAACTTTTCGCGTAGAAATAAATAATTTTTATATGTGCGGAAATAGTTTTAAAAATTTTCAAATTTTTTTGGAAAATAATAAAGTGAAAAACAAGTTGCCTAATTAACAGAGTTCATCCGCTGGCATATGGTATACGTCCGAATGTTATTCAACAACTGTAAGGATTTATAGCTTATTTTAATGTTACATGTTGACCTAAACAGGGTTAGGTCGCCTCCTATACAGTCACAGCTAAGATCTGAGTATTGTGGTTCTCTCTACCCAGACTTGAGATCGACACACCCAACATATGTCCAGCATGTAATGAGTATCCGCAGACCTATACCACCTCTTTATATGCCCCCCAAAACAAACTCAAATAAACCTTCTTTTCCTGTGGTCCGAAGTCTTCGACAGAGCTCGTTTCCTGAACCACCCGTTAGATGACCTCGATAACACTTAGACTGATATTAGTTAGTGATATTAGTTTTTAGGCTAAGACCACAGCAACAACAACAACAAAACAGTTTATTCTAAGCTGTGTCCAAATGGTTTCAATTTCATATCAGAATTATCGCACACTCGATAAGGTAGACTTTGGCTACCAAAATATTCACGGCTTATGGCTTGGCAATTATGGTCGCTTTCACATACTTTTTTTCAACGGTCGATTGTCCATCAAAAGGACAGTTTCAGCTTGTTCGACCTTTTTGTCGTGTTTTGGCTCTAGTTGGGTTTTCTATCTAAATGAATAGAGCGTCTTGTAGTATTCAGATTAGGGATTGAACCATCAGTGTTATGAGAAATTAATTACTAATGCAGGTGCTGATACTCTCAGCAAGGTTGATGCTGCCTCTCCGGAGAGACCCCATAAGACTTAACTATGGACTGTTTGAGATTCACTTCGTGAAGGCTCTTGGAAAATGTTCTCCAAATTCCAAACCTCATCGCATAAAATTCGATGAGAAAATGGTCAATTTGAAATCAAACTATATACGAGAGTTTAGATCTTGAGATGGCAGGGAACTTTCCTGACCTTCCCCGGGTCATTTTAGGTCAGTGCGATACCCTTGCGATGCCAATAAGATCTCGCAATGGTCAATGCGGAGGTATTAGCCCGGTGCTCGCTTAGATGTTTCAAGACTTACCATTCTCAAAGCAGACCGTATGCAAATTAATAGAATTATAAGGTGATAAGTTCTTTCTTTTCTGGGTTACTGTGGCGTGTTTCCAGAACAGAACCAAAAAGGCTCTTAATTGTCGAGGTTTCATGATAATCTCAGAAAAATGTATGTACAGCTTTAGAGACAGTCAATTACGGACAGCATTAGGAGCACTGGAATGTGAATATTAAAATGTTAAAGAACTGCCGCTGATCACTTAACTTAATGACATAGCAGATCTCTCTGAACCGGGTATGTATGTAGGGCGCAGTGACCAACCAGATATTTCCGGCCACATGGAAGAGTATTGGGATGCCACTCAACACCGGTAAGCTCACTATAAGAGGGTTAGTTATCGCCTGCGTTAAGTTAAAATGGAAGAGTTTCAGCTGTTGCAATATGAATAAGATGTGATGAAAGAAGACCTCGTCACAAGAGGTCATCTCGGTGGTGTCACCACAAATTTGTTTGATGCCCACCAACCATTTTAGCTTAGCCTATCCTAATATGCAACTTTATTTATGCCAAAATTGGTGTGAATAAGATTTTTTTATGACATTCTAAAGAATAAAATAGGAAAATGTTTTGAAGTATGTGTGTACATATGCATGTGAATGGCGAGAACATGTTTCGACCAAAATATTTCTAAAAAGGATAAAAAATATTTTATAGCTCACACATGTCAACCGCAAATGGGCAACAACAGTAATGTCATACGACATATGCATACACACATATTTATTATGATGCACATACGTAAGTCAAATGGACCAACTTTCTCTTTACACACAGACTTTGTGTCTGCTCTTAAGTGTCTGGAGCAACTGAAAGGGGTTGCGATGACGCGTTTGAGTAACTTCGCTTTCTGGCATGCGGGTAATTTGACATTTTTGCCTTTCGCTTATCAATCTTAAAGGGACACTAAGCCGTTGTTGTATGCGTAAGTGCGTTGAAATTTCGTTCAAAAGTTTCAAATTATAAATTTCTGCCTTCCGCAAAAATGTACATACAAATTACATGTGTGTATACACATAATTATATATGTAAGCATTGTGTTAAGGGACAGTATGCCTCTACATGCACAGTCAGTGTTCAAGTTGCCTATTTGTTGTTTTTTTTTGTTTTTTTTTTTCTTTTTTTTGCGTAGGCGTTTTGTGCTTTTCGCTTTCCATTTTCTGCTCCGAAAAGTCAAGATTTGTGCAAATAAGTTCGTGAAAATTCTGGTATTTGCCTTTGTATTTCCCAAAATTTATATAAACTCACATACATGCAAATTCAAACTACCCACACGTTATTCACTTATCAACTCTGTGGCTTTTCGAAAAGTATTTAAGCCACTTTTTCGTTTGCTATATTCTGTGCTGTAGGCAGTGTAGAATTTGAGCAAATTTTTACTGCTTTCATATGCATTTTAGGCGCGCACAATTTCAACTTGGTCTCTCTAGATTGCTAGAGCGTTTAATGTGACATATGCCGTGAAGTACTTGAGTATTTTTGTTACTTTCCTTTTTGGTTGTTTTCCAAAGATGTTTCATATACATCTGCTGAGGAAAGTAAGTACTTAAGACGCGCAAGTATTCCCAAAATAATCATTTGTGGCAAACTTGACGGCAAATCAGTATGGCATTAGGCCTAATGTAGTCATATTTTGAAATCAATTTGCTTTGGATTTTCTTCCATCCTCCTGATGTTTACATTTTCATTGAAAAATATAATAATAAAAAAATTAAATCAAATAATATAAATTAATTAAAACGAAGTAAAATAAATAAATTAAAAAAAACAAATTGAAATAAAATAAACTAAATCAAATAAAAAAATTAAAATTACAAAATATTAAGTAAATCAAAATAAATCAAATTAAAATAAAATGAAAAAGAATTGAATTAAAAAATACTAAGACCTAAAATAAAATTATGTAGTATAAAGTAAAAAAAAATGATATAAAAGAATATAAGATAAAATAAACTAAAATAACAAAAATGAAATGATATAAAAAAAATAAATTAAAATGAAATGAAATAAAATAAAATAAAATAAAATAAAATAAAATAAAATAAAATAAAATAAAATAAAATAAAATAAAATAAAATAAAATAAAATAAAATAAAATAAAATAAAATAAAATAAAAAAAATAAAATAAGGGAAAACAAAATTAAATAAAAGGAAAGAAAATAATATATCAAAGAAATAATTTTAAATAAAAAATTAAAATAAAAAATAAATTTAAAAAAAAGTTCAAATAAAATAACTTTAAGTAAAATAGAATAATTATAATGAAATGAATAAAATAAAATAAAATAAAGTAATATAACAAAAATAAATTGATATAAAATAAAATAAAATAAAAAATTAAATAAAATATTAAAATGTAAAATAAAATAAAATAAAAAATAAAGGAAACAAAATAAAATGAAATGCAGAGAGATAAAATATTAAAAATTTAAGTATCTTCTTCAGATCGTCGTACAGATTTCTAAAACTCTTTACATGCACATTACATATATATTCGTGTATAAGCTATTGAAAATTCATTCACTTAAGCCTGCAAAAGATCTTTTACTTTTATTATTTATCTTAGCCATGTCCTTCAGGCCATATTTATACACTAACGAACTAACTAAAATAGAATGAGCAAAGAAGCACAAAAACACATACATCTACTAAAGTATTCAGCGCATACAACCCTCTATATACATATATGTATATGTATTCATATACATGTTTGCTGTTATAAATGTGTATATTTAACTAGATACCTCAGCTCACTGTCTACTATTTGTTAAGTGGTTTTCTACTCTACTTACTTGCGATAGTGTTAGCTTGTGTGTCTTTTATTGAAGACAAGAGTAGCGCATTAACTAAGTGTAAAATTTTCTGAATGTTTTTGGGAACCATTTATTTATGAAAACAAATTTTTAAAAAAAATTTTTTTTTTTGATGAACTTTTTTATTATTATTTTTTTTTTTTTAATATCAATTTTTTGGTATAAATGAAAACAAATTTTGTTTTAAATATTTGTTTGAAAACTCTTCTCGAAAAAATTATTTTGAGTTGGAACAAATTTCAGCAAATCTTTTTTTTTTTTTTGGCTCACTGGGTGATCATAAAATACAAATACACCCAAACGTATATATTTCATGTTTACATTTGACGGGCTACAAAAGTATTCAGTTGATGAATATCGCCTTGAACGCGTTCATAAGCGACATGCGTCGTTGAAAATCGTTCATGTTGACAGCAGAGTTGGAAAACTGCCGTTACCAGCTGGTGTGTTAACAACTTTCTTCAACTGTTCTGTAAGCCATAGTTTGAAATCAGTAGTATTAGTTATGTTGTTTTTGTTATTGCAATACGCGTGCGAAATGATTGGCAGCTATGGCATAAAGAACTGAAATTTAATGTCATGCCATTGAATTGATGAGAAAACTTGCTTTTATAGAAATACACACAAACATGTATGCGTATATATGTGTATATATGCGTGTGTGCGTGTTTTTTTACGATTGCTTACATATGTATATATAAATATTTACATTTGTGGTTTCCACACACACACACACACACACACGAACGCTGAAT